GAAGAAGAAGGACATGTTTGCTTTCCCTTCTGCCATGATTTTAAGTTTCCTAAGGCCTCCCCACCCATGCTGAACTGTGAATTAATTATTCTTCTTTCCTTTATAAACTATTTAGTCTCAGGTATGTCTTATTTAGCAGTGTGAGAAGAGACTAATATAGTAAATTGGTACCACAGATAGTAGGGTACTACTGTAAAGATAACTGAAAATGTGGAAGCGACTTTGGAACTGGGTAACGGGCAGAGGTTGGAACAGTTTGGAGAACTCAGAAGAAGACAGGAAGATGTGTGAAAGTTTTGAACTTTCTGGAGACTTGTTGAATGGCTTTGACCAAAAGCCTGATAGTGATATGGACAAAAAGGTCCAGGCTAAGGCGATCTCAGATGGAGATGAGGAACTTGTTGGGAATTGGAGCAAAGGTGACTCTTGTTATGTTTTAGCAAAGAGACTGGTGGCATTTTGCCCCTACCCTAGAGATTTGTGGAACTTTGAACTTGAGAGAGATTATTTAGGGTATCTGGTGGAAGGAAATTTCTGAGTGGCAAAGCATTCAAGAGGAAGCAGAGCATAAAAGTTTGGAAAATTTGCAGCCTGACAGTACAATAGAAAAGAAAAACCCATTTTCTAGGGAGAAAGTAAAGCCCACTGCAGACATTTGCATGAGTAATGAGGAGCCAAATGTTAATCACCAAGACAATGGGGAAGATATCTCCAGGGCATGTCAGAGATTTTCATGGGAGCCCCTCCCATCACAGGCCCAGAGGCCTAGGAGGAAAAATGGTTTCCTGGACCAGGCCCAGGGCCCCCATGCTGTGTGCAGCCTAAGGACTTGGTGCCCTGCATCCTATCCTCTCTAGTTGTGGCTAGAAGGGGCCAAAGTACAGCTCAGGCTGTGGCTTCAGAGGGTGTAAGCCCCAAGCCTTGGCAGCTTCCACGTGGTGTTGAACTTGTGGGTGAACAGAAGTCAAAAATTGAGGTTTGGGAACTTCCTCTTAGATTTCACAGGATGTATGGAAACACCAGGCAGAAGTTTGCTGCAAGGGCAGAGCTCTCATGGAGAACCTCTGCTAGGGCAGTGTGAAAAGGAAATGTGGGGTTAGAGCCTCCACATGGACTCTGCTTTGGGGCACTGCCTGGTGGAGCTGTGAGAAGAGAGCCATCATCCTCCAAACCCCAAACCCCAGAGTGGTAGATTTCACTGGCAGCTTGTACCATGCACCTGGAAAAGCCACAGACCCTCAGTGCCAGCTGTGAAAGCAGCTGGGTCAGAGGGCTGTACCCCACAAAGCCATAGGGACAGAGCTGCCCAAGACCATGGGAACCTACCTCTTGCATTAGCGTGACCTGGATGTGAGACATGGAGTCAAAAGAGATCATTTTGGAACTTTAAGGTTTAATGACGGCCATATTGGATTTTGGACTTGCATAGGGCTGATGCCACTTGGTTTTGGCCAATTTCTCCCATTTAGACTGGGTGTTTTTACCCAGTGCCTGTACTTCCATTGTATTAAGGAAGTAACTAACTTGCTTTTGTTTTCAAAGGCTTAAAGGCAGAAGGGACTTGCCTTGTCTCAGATGAGACTTTGGACTGGACTTCTGAGTTAATGCTAGAATGAGTTAAGACTTTGTGGGACTGTTGGAAGGACATGATTGTGTTTTGAATTGTGAGGAAATGAGATTTGGAAGGGGCCTGGGCAGAATGATATGGTCTGGTTGTTTTTCCATCTTGAATTGTAGTTCCCATAATCCCCACATGTTGGTGGAGATAATTGAATCATGGAGGCGGTTTGCCCTGTCCTGTTCTTGTGATAGTAAGAAGACTATCTCATGAGATCTGGTAGTTTCGTAACAGGCTTCCCCCTTTGCTGGGTACTCATTCTCCTCCTTCCTGTCACCTTGTGAAGAAGGACATGTTTGCTTCCCCTTCTTCCATGATTGTAAGTTTCTTGAGGCCTCCCCAGCCATGCTTAACTATGAGTTAATTAAACCTCTTTCCTTTATAAATTACCCAGTCTCAGGTATGTCTTTATTAGCAGTGTGAGAACAGACTAAACCATCCTCTCAGACCACAGAGGCATAAAAATAGAAATCAATACCAAGAAGACCTCTGTAAACCACATAATTACATGGAGACTAAGCAACTTGCTTCTGAATGACTCTTGGGTAAACAATGAAATTAAGGCAAAAATCAAAAAATTATTTGAAATAAATGAAAATGGAGACACAACATACCAAAATCTCTGGGATGCAGCAAAAGCAACATTAAGAGGAGAGTTTATAGCACTAAAGACCTACATCAAAAATTTAGAATGATCTCAAATTAGTGATCTAACATCATACCTAGAGGAACAAAAAAAAAACNAAAAAAAAAAAAAAAAAAAAGAGTATAGACACTGGAGTCAGACAAACCTGGGTTCAAATCCTGCCTCTCTCACTTCCTGGCCACAGGACCACGGCCAAGTGTGTCCTCCCTCTGAGTCTCAGGTCCCTCCCTGAAAATGGAGCTGATAATACCCAGGCACATGCCTCTCCAGAGTGGTACGAAGAGTCAATGAAACAATGTGTATAAAGTCCTTATCAGGGCCAGGTGCAGTAGCTCACGCCTGTAATCCCAACACTTTGGGAGACCAAGGCAGGCTGGAGCAGGCCACCTGCAGGCTGGATATGCTCCCGGCCCATCATTCCAGATACATGTGGACAAAGCCAGAGCCAGCTGCCTGTCCACCCCACATAACCGCAGACACACAGGCACACACAAAGACACAACAGGAACCAAAGAAGGGCTGGTCAGAGAGGGGGCTGCAGCAGGATCCCAGTATTTGCCCTTCAGGAGCTGGCTCCTCTCCTAACCCAGACACACACCCCCAGGCCTGTCAAGGGGTGTTACCAGGCTCCTGCTCCACTGTTGCCCCCTCTGAGGCCCAAGCCTCCACCCACCTAGGGGATTGGTATAGGGAAGTGGGGGATGCCACCAAGAAAGAGAATGTCATCCTCTTCAACAAGGCCTCCTTCACAGGCCTGGGGTGGGAGGGGGAAATCTCTGCTCCCCGTGAAAGGACAACAGGATTCCAGCCTCTCCTCATACCTGCTTTTCACCCCAACACCAATCAGAGAAAACACTCCTGGAGGCACATTTTGTCACTGATGCTATAAACTGTGAATTCCTTACTACTTCAATGGCCAGATGGGGAAACTGAGGCCCAGGGGTGAGAAAGGATTTTCCCAAGTTGAGTACAGTGTCGGGGGCAGAACTGGGATCAGATACTAGGTCTCTGGTTCACCATCCATTCCTTTCTAACCTCAACAATCTCTTCATCATTCATCTGTCCTGCTCATATTCTAAGCATATGCTCTGTTGCAAACCCTGCGCTAAGGATAAAGGATACAACAGTGAACAAAACAGATTCCTGATCCCTGAGGTGCTCACAGCAGTTATCACAGAGTCAGGGTTGCAGGGAATACATCTGTCCCCTTTGCGCAGCATTTTCCAATTGACAAAGCACTTTCCTACCCCACCTCTTATTTCATTCTTCCCGCAAACTCACAGGTCAGTTTTTGTTGTTGTTCTGTTTTTGGGTTTTTTTTGAGCCGGAATCTCACTCTATTGCCCAGGCTGGAGTGCAGTGCTGCGGTCTCTGCTCAGTGCAACCTCTGCCTCCTGGATTCAAGCAAATTCTCCCACCTCAGCCTCCCGAGTAGCTGGGACTACAGGCTTGCACCACTACACTCAGCTAATTTTTGCATTTTTAGTAGAGACAGAATTTCACCATGTTGGTCAGGATGGTCTCAAACTCCTGACCTCAAGCGATCCACCCACCTCGGCTTCTCAAAGTGCTGGGATTACAGGCATGAGCCACCACGCCCAGCCCACAGAAGTCAGTATTTTAACCCCCAATCTGCAAAGGAGGAAAGTGGAACTTCCGAATGGCTCAAGGCTCCGGTTGTCAGGAGCGGAGATCAAAACCCCGGATGCCCACCTCAGTCCCAGGACCCATCTTCATCTACGGAGCTGACCTCTTTCTCCAGCTGGTTTGCCAGGACCTAAAGATAGTTGTTTCTCTTTTGCTTCCCTAGCACTCCCCAACACACCTCCTACCCCTCCTCCCCTAACACACATACACACACACACACACATACACACACACACACACTCCCCAAACACCTGGAACACAGCTGGGTATTCAGTCAGAGCTAATGGAAAGCAGCCTAAAGGTGTGGGGAGAGCACCTGCTGGTTCTGTCATATTTCCCAAGTGAGCAAGTGCACAACCCCACGTCTGGACCTCCTGCCAGCCGAGGACAGTGGGTGCCAACCTGGGCCCTGTCCCCAGCACCTGGGACCTGATAGGGGCCACTGGTTGTGGGCTTGGCCCTTTGTATAATAACCTGGTTATTTTCAGCAACCCCTACCCCACCCAGCAAACCTAGCATCTAGTGAATTCCTAAGTACCCGCCCCTGTACCAGGTCGTTTATATGTTCCAACAGTTCTGTGGGGGAGATAGCATTATCCTTATTTGACAATTTAGAAAACTGCGTACAGATGGAGCGTAACTTGGCCAAGACCACACAGCTTGTCAAGCAGATGTCATTTGGCTCCCCGAGATCCAAGCTGCCCCCATCACCCACCATCACCACCTCCCAGTGAGGTCTCTGGGGTCACCTCAGCACTGCCTTAGACTCAGAAAGCCAAAGATGGGTGTTGGGCTGTCCAGGAATGTTTGAACACAAGAAGTTATTTCTTTCATATGAGACTCCCAGATACTGTGGAGGCTGAGGTGGGAGGCTCGCCTGAGCCTGGCAGGTCCAGGCTGCAGTGAACTGTGATCACACCACTGCATTCCCACCTGGGCAACAGAGTGAGACCCAGTCTCAAAAAAAAAGAAAAGAAAAGAAAATAGAAGCACCCACCTGTGCAGCCTAGCGGCATGACCTTGGTTTACCTCCCGAGGACAGTTTTATAGCCTCCCCCTTGCCCAGCAGGGGGCAGGACCCCATCTTACCTGTAGCAGGGGCAGTGGCTGCAGCTGCAGGGACTGTGTGTCTCTGCCTGGGTCCTGGCCCCAGCCTCAGCCTCTGTGCGTCTGGCAATTGCAGAAGTGAGGAAACCGAGTGTATCACTGCCAAGTCATCCCCGGGAGGAAATGCTGTGACCCTAGGGCCTCTCAGCGGGTGCCACAGGAACCTCCAAGCTGGACCACCAGGACCTGGGCACTGCACAGAGGCTTCTCGTAGAGCAAGGGACTGGGTGGGGTATGGGCAGCACCTAATGCCGGGGAGCTGAGGTGAGAAAGAGGAAAAGCAGGAGACAGAAAGCAAGTGAGAAAGAGAGCATGAGGGTGAGGAAGAGGAGGGAGGAGAGATGGGGGGGTGTGGGAGGGAGTCAGGAAAAAAAATGAGAGGGTAGGGGAAGGGATGGAGGGAGCGAGGCTCAGGAAAAAAGACGTAAACACCGGGAGAGATGAGAGGAACGAGGAGATACACGGACAAAGACCAGGGAAGGTCCACAACGAGACACAGGCAGTGAGCGGGCGCCTGTGCACATTTGGGTCTGTGTGTCTCTGGATGGGGGTGAGAGAGAAAATCAAAGACAGGCAGTGGAGGAAAGAGAGTGGTCTCGGGATACAAAATGGAGAGAGGAGGGAGGCGCTCAGAAGAGCCACTGTGATGAGTGGCACAAGTGGGCAGGGCACTCCTAGTGACCAAGGAGCATTGAGCCCAGAAATCCCACGGGAACAGAGCTGCGGGGCTGGAGATGGAAGCTCCCTGAGATCTGGAGCCTGGGTTAGGCAGTGTGTGAGTTCATGGGAGCCTGTGGGTGAAGAGGGGTGGGCAGTCGGGGGTGAACGCACATGAATGTGTGAGTGTGAGTGTGAATCTGGGGGTATGTGTGAAAGTGAGCCAGTGGGAGCATCCTGTGTGCATAAGTGAAGGGTAAGCCAGAGTCCCTGCCTCAGTTTCCAAATCATTTACCCACTCCTTCAACCAGCCAACAAGCACCGACTGAGTACCCCCAGGCACCAGGCCCGAGGGTGCCTGTCTAAACAAGCAAGTCCCTCAGACACATCAGCCGAGCCAACAACCTCCTACACAGGGAGGGAGACAGAGGTCCTGACAGGACCAGGGTCCCACGGCAAGGCAGGTGAAAGCAGAGGCAGGGGCCTGCGTCAGCATCAGCCTCAGCTCCACGCTGGGTGTCTGGGCTAGCCTCCTCCTCCTAATGTCCCTTATCAAAGCCAAAAATGGCTCTCAAAGGACAAATCAACTTTTTTTTTTTTTTTTGAGATGGAGGCTCGCTCTGTCGCCCAGGCTGAAGTACAGTGGCAAAATCTCAGCTCACTGCAACCTCCACCTCCCAGTTTTAAGTGATCCTTCTGCAGAGTAGCTGGGATTACAGATGTGCACTGCCATGTCTGGCTAATTTTTTATTTTTAGTAGAGATGGGGTTTCACCATGTTGGCCAGGCTGGTTTTGAACTCCTGACCTCAAGTGATCCACCTGCCTTGGCCTCCCAAAGTGCTGGGATTACAGGTATGAGCCACCACACCCAGCCCATTTTCTTTCTTTTTTCCCCCCTTTTGTTTGAATCAGGATCCAAGAAGATTCATGTAGCAATTGGTTGCTATGTCTCTTAATTCTCCTTATTTAATTAATTTAATTATTTAGAGGCGAGTTCTCACTGTGTTGCCCAGGCTGGTCTCAAGCTCCTATGTCTTGCTTTTTTGAGACGGAGTCTCGCTGTCACTCAGGCTGGAGTGCAGTGGTGTGATCTCAGTCTCATTATGTTGTCCAGGCTAATCTCAAACTCGTGACCTTTCAAGGTGCTGGGATTACAGGCATGAGCTCCTACCACTCGACCTCCTAATTCTCTTTGAATGAATAGTTTCTCCCTATATCTTTTTTTCTTGTTTAGAATTTATTTATTGAAGAAAGCATGTCATTTGTTCTGGGATGTTTCTTATCATCTGCGTTTGTTGAGCGAATCCCTATGATCCACTTCCTTCTGTTAACAGGAGTAAACTGGTGGTTGAACTTGCTGATTCTACTACGATTTCCTGGCAAGGCTGTTTCATTGGTGGTGGTGTGAATTGTGCATGCTCAAACACAACTTTGTTAGAAAGTGTTTCAGACAGCTGGGCGCGGTGGCTCAAGCCTGTAATCCCAGTACTTTGGGAGGCCGAGGCGGGTGGATCACGAGGTCAAGAGATCGAGACCATCCTGGTCAACATGGTGAAACCCCGTCTCTACTAAAAGTACAAAAAATTAGCTGGGCATGG